GTTTAATGCCTCATCCCAAATCCATCCCGGTTCCTACCTTAAAACTAGTGTCACGTGTTCCGAGGTGAAAGCCGGCCGCTTTTCGCGAAAGCCGACCGCTTTTCGTTCAGCTCGCAACTTACCGTTACATAAGCCGGACGGGCTTTGCCAAAGCCGGCCGGTTTTCGTCGCCGCAGCATAATTCAATAATTAAATCTCAAAACCCGGGCGGGCTTTGCGAAAGTCGGCCGGTGTTTGGCTGCGTAACATTTCCCGTTTTAACTGAAAGCCGACTGGTTTCTACAAAAGCCGGCCGGTTCTTGGCGCCGTGGATTTTTTATTTAATTCCCTGAACGGACGCCAAACGGGTTTCACGAACGTCGGGCGACGTTCGTCGCCGTAGGAAATCCCGGAATAAATCCCAAAATTCGACTTATGAAAGCCGGCCGCTTTTCACCCTTGCCGGGCGATGTTCGCCGGCGAGGCTTTAACGCCGGAATCACCTGAACAGAAGCCGGCCGGTGTTGATGATTGCCGGCCGGCAATCGTCGCCGTAGGATTTTTAAATAAATTCGAGGATGAAGGCCGGGCGGCTTTCGCCACCGCCGGGCGGTGTTTGCCCTGTATACGCTGCTCTCCCAAAGCTCAAACATGCCCGGTTAGCTAACGGCCATAAACTTTGTACATATCCAAACACCTATATCGTTTACAAAAGCATTAATATCAAGAGTTTAAGGAATTACCCGCAACGGAGTCCGAGTTAGCTCGAGCATCGGCTTCCGTCATTGCATAGACCCTAGCTTGGGTCTTCCCTTGGTTCACGGAGGGTGCGTTGCTTGTACTAGCTCCACCGTGCCCCATGCTTGCACTCGGTGCTCCCGTTCGGTTCCTACTCATTGTGGTCCCACCAGTCGGTCCAGCACCCATGGCTCGCCCAAGTTGTGGGCAATTTGACCTCATGTGCCCCGTATCCCCGCATTGGTAGCACCGCGGGGGATCACGACACTTGCCCATGTGATTCCTGGCCTCTTGCAGCTTTTGCACTTTGGCGCTGTCGAGGCTTGTGATCCCGAGTGTTGTCCACTCGTCCCCGGGTTTGCTCTAGATGGTGGTGTAGGGGTTTTAAATGAGCCACCTCCCCCGTGGTTCCCCTTCTTGTTAGAACCTTGGGGGCCATGGTTCTCCCATTTCCTCTTCTTCGCCTCCTCGGCGTCTCTCCTCTTCCTCTCCTCCCACTGTTTCTCTCCCTTGAGGCCTTGGTCAACCACTTGGGCGAAAGTCATGTTAGGCAATTGTGTTGCCCTATCACGTATCTCCAAGTCAAGAGCATCCCAAAAGTGATTCACCATCCGGTTCTCGTCAGTCGTCACAAGCATACTCCGGTATGTAGTCAGCAAGGTCCCGGAACTTGTACTCAAGTTCCTTCACCGTCATGTTACCCCCTTGAGTTAGGAGGGTGTATTCCCTCACCTTCTTATTCACCTCAAAGTCAGAATAGTATTGGGCAAAGAACTCCCGTCGGAAGTCCTCCCAAACGACGGTCTCACCATACTTGCTCTTGGTTCCATCCCACCACTTGGATGCCATCCACTCAAGCAACCTTACCGCAATTCTTAGTTTAAGATTTGGTGTGATTTGCATGTCAAGGGCTGCTTCATTCAGCCTCTTGATCCATTGTGCGGCAACCGAGATGTCCCCCGTTCCATCGAACGGTTTTCACCCCAAATCTCTTGCCTCCTTGATAAATTTTGAGATCCTTATGGTTGGACCTCCACCACCTTGGCCTCCATGTGGTTCAACATGGGCTCTAGAAGCAACATGACTCCCTCCTCTTGAAGCCATGCCCGAAGGTTGCCCCGTTCGGCGTCTTCGGCGTTGCCTCCTCTCCTCGCGCTCTCGGTGGTATTGTTCGAGCAGCGCCTCAATTCTCCCAAGAGTGCCATTATCATCACTCTCTCCGCTTACGTCATCATCCTCCCCATCATATGGGGTTTCAACCGACTCGGTCTCCGGTCGGTAAGTTGAGTCCTCCTCGGACTCGTAATACTCATCAATCGTCTCAACATGACCGTCACTCACGGTCAGTGAGTGGCCTGCACGGCCCTGTCCTCTTGACACCCCCGATGCTGCTCGACTGCCATGTTGGGACCTTCCCGGTGCCTGACCAGTCGGGTTTCGTCGGGTGACTTTACCGGTACGTTCCATTTCTGAAAGAGATAGAGAATGAGTCATTAGACCCGTATCAAATGTCAATTGACGGATAGATACTTAAAGACATCCCTTGGCTCAAATCGCCGCCATACCAATTGTTAAGGGTACCATCTTAACAATTAGAGACCTTGCAACCCAAGTACCAAAAGTTCTATAAGTACAAAACTTTATGCTCATGGTTTGCAAAATCATTTTCAAAAAGGAATTTTGAAGCTTCATTATGAAGTTTACGGAACCTGGCTCTGATACCAATTAAATTGTCACGCCCCGAATCTACCGGACACGTCAACAACCCGCCGTACAGTACGAATAGTCAACCGCAGTCCAACTCATCCGTACTATACTAGGCATCTTGAATATCATTCACAATAGTACATCCATAAACAATCATAATGTAAAATATTTAATTAAGCAGCGGAAACATTCATACAAGTATTCAAGCCACACGTGGCAAACACGGGCATACAAATCCCAAATAATTATTCAGAAAATAATATCCATGAGCATTCATTTAAATATTTTTAAAATAGAAACGGAGGAAGCACGAACCACGTCTTCTCTCCTCGAGCTTCCCAAAGCAACGGGCGATGATAGCGAGCTTTATCCCCTACCTGAAACTGTGAGGTGGCCTCCCCCGTGAAGGGGAGGTTAGTACTTGGAAGCTTTTGACAAGTACAATGACAACTATACTAAGTATAATCAATGTTTCAATTTCCAAGACCCTCAAAGAGAGTGATATTATATTATAGGTCATAACCCTTGGTTACACTCTTTGGAAATATACTTACTTTATATATAAAGTCAAATAGCCGGCCCGAAGGCCCATGTTTACTTTGAAAACATTCAACCCTTTCCCCGTGACTTCAAGCCACGCCCATCTATATTAGTTCACCATGCTAGAGGCTTCCTCTAGTCATGTTTTGTCGTGCTAGAGGCTTACTCTAGTCACTCCACTAGGTGTTAGAGGCTTCCTCTAATCACCTTACATACGTTGTGCTGGAGGCTTCCTCCAGTCACATTACGTTATGCTAGAGGCTTCCTCTAGTCGTCCTACACGAATGCTGGAGGCTTCCTCCAGTCATTCTTCATCGTGCTAGAGGCTTCCTCTAGTCACTATACTAGTTCGTCCTACACGAATGCTGGAGGCTTCCTCCAGTCATCCTTCATCGTGCTAGAGGCTTCCTCTAGTCACGATACTAGTTCACTAAGCAAGTTCTATGCCTAGAGTTCCTCTACTATGAGTAGCCTTTGAGACCTACTCCTACGGTAACTTAGCGTTTACCCATTTCTACCTTAAGACATCTCATAACACTACTTAAGGTGTACCTCTTTCACAATCCAAGCCCTTAGGATTTGTTCTATCACTTTTCATACTAATATTTCCGACTAGTAAAATCAATACTAATCCATTAGTCTTTAAGCCCCCAAGCTCTTTAATTCATAGTTATAAGTTTCATTCCTATGAATTTCCCAATCTGTATATGATTTAATCTCAATATCAAAAATATCACTTTTATCCATTCGTGATTTCTATACATGAAGTAAAAGTATATTTCATCACAAAAATTCATGGTTTATACAATCACCATAACATCATTCTTATAATGCATAACTATACACCATTTACTCATAAATTTGTATATTATGCATCTTCTATTCATAAACAATAATATTTTCATTTAGGCATTATTGATCATTAATAACCCATGAAAATCACATTTAATTAACTTAGGTAATCTTATGAAATTAACCCAAGGATTATAAGCAATTAAGTCAGCTATCCTCACCTTATGATGTGCTCAACTAGCTGCCTTAGCGAACCCCTCGATCCGTCCTTGTTCTAGGCCGCTCGAGGGTGAAAAATCTGGACACAAGGTGAAAGTCGGGCGATGTTCGTGGTCTGCTACCGCGAACAGTCTCCTTCCTTTGGCGGTTTCCGGCGATTTCAACTCCTATCGATTCCACGACTCTTCTAAGTTAAATACCACCACTTTATAACATTATTCTACACTTTTAAACGTGTAGAACTCCATGTTTAATCCACCATATGATTTCTTAAAAATCATACAATAATAATACTAGTTAATTCATACTAGTTGGACTCTTATCTTGTAACACCGCCCCCAAGTATTTGTACTTTATCAAATTATGTATCGAACCCCGAGGAATGAACAAACGCATTTTTAGAGGAATGAACAAACGCATTTTTACGTGATTGAAAATTTCTATCATTTCTTTTACGTGAATATTAAAATCCACGTGGGGCCCACACCGGAGGTGGGGGCTGCCCGATAGTATCGGGACCACATATTATATTCGTTTGGGTCAAGATAATATGTGTGGAATGATGGATAGCCTTGTTGGGCCATAGAAATTATGTGAGTAACCATTTGAGCATATAAAGCCCATTTATCGGTACCGAAGTAATATCAGATAAAAAGCCATAATAAATTATGGAGACCATAAAATTAAAAGTTGGGAATATACATTCATTCTTATAGCCAATAATAATGGGAAGAATGATAGATATTTCATTTTACCCGATAAAATGAAATATAGTTAAAATAGTCCGGAAAATACAACTTTCGGGACCAAGTGTGCACTTGGGGACACAAAGGGATGACCACCCATCAAAGTGGGGGCCACCCCACGTTTTTGATCGTGCAAATGAGGAGGGAGAGCTGTATGAGAGACTTGTAATGGGAGCTGAATGATGAGGAGACAAATTAGATCACCTAAGGGTCCCTCCTCACATTCTTTTGCTCTATTAAGACAAAAGTGAGGGGTTTCCTCCACCCACCTCCAATCAGCTCGACCCATACATCATCCAAGGAGGAGGAAAACCTGCAAGTACTCCATTTTCATCAGCTATTCACGCACAAAGCAAGGGGAAGAAGAGGGGAGGAAAAAGAGGAGAGAAAAGAGGAGTTTAGGTGCGAAACCTTGTGGTTAATAAGGTAATGACCTCATTAAACTCATTCCTTCCCTTTAATCATATTTCATACTCCTAGGATAGTTCTACATATGTAAAAGTGTAGAATGGGGGTTGAAGGGTTGATTTATACCCAAAACGAACCTTGGGAGCAAAGTTGACGGGTTTGCCGGAAAATAACCTTTTAGAGGTTATTTGTATTGGTATGGGTTTTATGATGATAAAACCTTGTTGTTAACTTGTATAAGGTATTTCAAGAACTTTCACAGAGTTGAAAGGGTTGCCGGAGTTGTCGCCGGAGTTCGTTGAAGTTCACCGGAGTTTCACCGGAGCTCGATAAGAAAGGCTAGAACTTTATAAGCTTCTTTTAAGGTGAGAAGACGGCTATATGCTTTATAACTTTTGCGTGAGGCATGAGATTACCTAAATTAATCAAGAATATGTTTTATGAATTGATTAATGGTATTAAAGCATGTGTTATGTTATGTTAACAACTATAACATAGTTGGAAAGCATGAAATGTTGGTTTGATTAGTGAAATAATTATAAATTGATATGTATGATATTCCAAGGGCCAAAAGTGGTATTTTTGGATCAAGGACTTCAATTAGTACATGCATGCAAAATTTCATGTTAGTCGGACTCCGTTTGGGCGGTCAAATGGGCGTTGACCGCCAAGTCAACCACAATACCCGACCGGGTATTGGCAAATACCCGACCGGGTATTTGCTGAAAATCTGCCCCTAGGGCTGCTGTCTCCTATACTCGATCGAGTATGGGTAGGTACTCGATCGAGTATGGATGGAAAATTAGCCTTACGGGCTGCTGTCTCCTATACTCGACCGAGTATGGGTGGATACTCGATCGAGTATTGGGTTATACTCAAAACGGGTAGTTTTTGAGTAGGTTAACGTGGACCGATCAGGTGGGACCCGTCCACGTTGGTTACTAAAGATTATTATATGACTATAGGACTAGGTATTGTCCATAGTTAAGTGAATGCAAGGTTAGCCATATCCAGGTTAGGGTTTGGTTAGAAATAAGGTTGAGGTTGAGTATCCTCGGGACGGTAAACGATCCCAAACCTCGGTGAGGTTGAGTATCCTCAGGACGGTAAACAATCCTAAAACTCGGTGAGGTTGAGTATCCTCAGGACGGTAAACAGATCCTAAAACTCGGTGAGGTTGAGTATCCTCAAGACGGTAAACAATCCTAAAACTCGGTTGAGGTTGAGCATCCTCGGGACGGTAAATGATCCTAAAACTCGGTTGGGGTTGAGCATCCCCGGGAGGGTTAACACTCCTGAAACTCGGTAGGATATTATGAAGGTAGAATGTAGCTCGTGAGCTAGGCATTCGGGAATGAATGGGAAAGGTTGGGTAATCGCCTTACCTCTAAAAGACTCTTTGTGATAAAACGACCCACGGGTCAAGTATTTTACAAGTATATACGGTATGTATTATCTTGGGAATGGGGTAACGATGGTTATACCTATAAGTATATGTATCATCCTATTTTTGGGTCTCGTGTCTGAAACATTAGTTATTCCTCATATAGCCTGCTTGTCACTAGTACTTTCTATGGAGTACTGACCCCTTCGGGGGCCCTCACATTTTTCAGGTTAAGGCTAGAGTCCTGCTACCTGCACCTTTGCCTAGGGTGAACTCAATAAGGAAGACGTGGTTCGTGCTTCCATTCTTATTTGAAATTATGAAATTGCTCATGGATATTTGAACGACGATTTCTATTAAACTAATGAAGGGCCTGCGTGCTCATGTTTGCCATGTGTGGCTAAATGTCAAACATATTTTATTTCCGCATTCGTTTGATTTATATATTGATGTTGATTGTATGGGTTTACTAATCGGTTCGGCAATAGAATCTATCGGACGCCTTGTATGACTTGATAAGAGTGAACTACATTGTTCTTATTGAATTGTACGGCGGTTGTCTACGTGGCACGGATGCGGTCCGGGGCGTGACAATTAAATGGTATCAGAGCCATCGATTTCTAAACTATATAATTAACCTCTCAATATAGTATCATCAAAAATGTTTTGAGCAAAACCATGAGCAAAAGTTTTTGTACTTAAGGAACCGTTGGAAACCGAGTTATTGACCTCTTGTTGTTAAGACGGTACCCTTAACAGTTTGTTGGCCATAATGTTGGACCAAGTGGTGTCTTTTGTACTATTCCGTCAATTGACATTGATACGAGTCTAACGGCTCATTCCAAATTTCTTTCAGAAATGGAGGGTAGAGGCATGGCTACGAGGAACAACCCGAGAGGGCAAACTCCGGTGACGTCCGAAGGGGCTAGCCAGGTTGCATCTCGGGACGCGAGAGGCGGTAGGAGAGGCCGTGGAGGCCGTGGAGGCCGGGGAGGCCGTCGGGCTCAAACCGTGAGCGATGGCCATGTTAGCTCGGTGCATGGAACTCACACCGAGGATTATGACTCTACCTATGTTCCCGAGACGGAACATGAGGAGACCCCATATGATGGGGGTGATACGTATACTGATGATGACAACGATGAGAGTGATGCCAAATTCGCCCAGATGGGTGAACTGTTTGAGTGGTATCAAAAGGAGAAGTTGAGGAGAGATCTTAGGCGCCAAGCTAGGCGTGCCTCTCAGGGGGCTTCAGGTCACGGATGTGACACCGCGCCCGTATGTACTTGAAATTGGAAGACGATATGTATTTGATTTTCCTAGCGAATAAAATTCGTGTAATTGATTGGTGTATTTAATTAATGCATGATTAATTAAATTATATATCGGGTCCATTATATGAGAATGGGCTACCAAATATTTAGTTGGGTTATCATAATAATTATAGTAGCCAAATAAAATGCCAACCGAAGTTGATAAAAATAGTTGGACAACCCGAGCGCTATTTTGACCCGGCCGGCCAGAAATAGCAGGAATAATTGGGCGGGACTTCCTACACCCACTTGGGGTATCCTACACCCTAATTTGACTCAAATAATGAGGGAGGAGGGGCCACACATTTTGACTTGTGCGTGCAAAAGAAAGAGGGGAGCATCATGGAGACAAAGTCCACACACCCCATGTTGGACTTGTCTTGGAGTGATTTGGTTGAGGATAGATATCCTCTCCTCTCATTTTGAGCCATACGAACCATCCAAGAGGAGGGAGAGCTCAGGGGAGAAACTCTCACAAAGCTCCAGCTTGAAGGAAGCACCAACAAAGAAAATCCAAGAAGAGAAGAGTGGTGTTTGAGGTAAGAACTCAACAATCAAGCTCCTAACTAGTATTTTATTGTATGATTTTTAAGAAATCATATGATGGATTAAACATGAGTTTATACACGTTTAAAAGTGTATAATATTGATATAAAGTGGTGGTAATTAACTTAGAAGAGTTGGGGAATCGATAGGAGCCAAAACCATCGGAAACCGCCACTTGAAGGAGGCTGTTCGTAGCTGCAGACCACGAAAGCCGCCCGGCTTTTGTGAAAGCCGCCCGGCTTTTGGCTGCTGTCCAGAATTTTCATCTCCAATCGGTTTAGAACGGGGATTGATCGAAGGGCTTAACAAAGGCAACTATTTCAGCACTTCATAAGGTGAGGATGACTGACTATATTGCTTATAATCTTTGGGTTAATTTCATGAGATTACCTAAGGTAATTAAATATGTTTTTAAGGATTATTAATGATTAATAATGCCTAAGAATGAGAAGACTATTGTCTATAAGGAAAAGAGCATAATATACAAATTTGTAAGAAATTGTGTATGATTATGTGATATGAAAGAAATGGCATGGTAATGGAATTAACTATGAAAATTGTGATAAAATATACTTTTACTTCATGTATGAAATTCATGAATGGATAAAAGTGATATTTTTGATATTGGGATTAAATCATATTTGGATTGGAAAATCAATTTAGATAAACCATTTGGCTATGAACTTAGAACTTGGTTGTTCTAAGGTTATTCGACTAGTATCGAAATACTAGTCGGGAGATTTATATAAATAAATGATGGAATTAATCCTAAGTGATAGGATTGTGAATAGATATGCCTTAAGTAGTCTTAAGAGATGCTTTAAGGTCAAATTGTATGAACACTACGGTGTGTTAGGGGTAGGCCAAAAGGCTATCCAAGTGAATTGATTCTAGGCATAGGATTTGCTTGAGAATTGAGCTATGGAAATAAATTAGAGTCGGACTCTAGGATTACATGGAAATGTAGTTGGGCCGAGCCCTTGCCATGTAATGTGACTAGCATGGAAACGTAGTTGGGCCGAGCCCTTGCCATGCATTGTGATCTTCATGGAAACGTAGTTGGGCCGAGCCCTTGCCATGAAGTTATAGTTGGTATGGAAACGTAGTTGGGCCGAGCCCTTGCCATACAAATTTAAATATATTAAATTGAGTTAAAGGATTGTATAGAAATGTAGTTGGGCCGAGCCCTTGCTATACAATCGGGACTCGAGGGAACCCTATGGGGTTGTCGTGACTCATGGTCACGGAAAGTGAAAATGGTAAATTCCAAATGAATATGGGCCCACGGGCCGACTACTTGACTTTATATAAAGTAAGTATATTCATAACACAGGGTAACCGGGGGTTACGGCCTACGATATAATATCACTCTATTTGAGGGTCTTAAGAAATTGAAACATCGATTATACTTAGTATAGTTGTCATTGTACTTGTCAAATGCTTCCAAGTACTGACCTCCCCTTCACGGGGGAGGCCACCTCACAGTTTCAGGTAGAACTTGAAGAGTTGCTGCCACCACCCGTTGCTTCGGGGAGATCAAGGGAAGAAGACGTGGTTCGTGCTTCTTCCGTTTCTGTTTTGAAAACAATCTAGATAATGCTCATGGATATTATTTTGAATATTTATTTGGGGCTTGTATGCCCGTGTTTGCCACGTGTGGCTCGGATATTATATTAATGTTTCCGCTGCTTTAATTAATTATTTAACATTATGATTGTTTATGGATGTACTATTGTGAATGGTATTCAAGACGCCTTGTATAGTATGGACGAGTTGGACTGCGGTTGACTATTCGTACTGTACGGCGGGTTGTTGACGTGTCCGGGTAGGTCCGGGGCGTGACAATTTAATTGGTATCAGAGCCTTAGTCCGTAAACTTCATAATGAAGCTTCAAAATTCCTTTTTGAAACGATTTTGAAAACCATGAGCATAAAGTTTTGTACTTATAGAACTTTTGGTACTTGAGTTGCAAGGTCTCTAATTGTTAAGATGGTACCCTTAACAATTGGCATGGCGGCGATTTGAGCCAAGGGACGTCTTTAAGTGCATATCCGTCATTTGACATTCGATACGGGTCTAATGACTCAATCTCTATCTCTTTCAGAAATGGAACGTACCGGTAAAGTCACTCGAAGAAACCCGACTGGCCAGGCACGGGGAGGATCCCAACACGGCAGTCGAGGGGCATCGAGGGCGTCTCGTGGGCAGGACCGTGCGGGTCACTCGTTAACGGTGAGTGACGGTCATGTGGAGACAATCGATGAACAATACGATTCCGAGGAGGATTCGACGTATCAACCGGGAACCGAGCCGGTTGAGACCCCATATGATGGGGAATATGATGATGATGACGAGAGCGACGATGATGACGCTCTAGAAAGGATGGAGGAGCTGCTCCGTCAATACCAACAGGATCGCCAAAGGCGCCGGGCAAGGCGTGCTTTGGGAGGGGCTTCCAGGGGAGGAAGCCGTGTGGGTTCTAGGGGACATGTAGAGTCCCAGAATGATCGAGGTACCGAGGTCCCGATAATAAGGATCTCAAAGTACCTCAAGGAGGCAAGAGACTTGGGGTGTAAACCGTTTGATGGAACGGGAGACATCTCCATTGCGGCCGAGTGGATCAAGAGATTCAACGAAGCGGCTCTTGACATGGAGCTGCCGCCGATCATGAAGTTGAGAGTGGCAACGAGGTTGCTAGAGGGAATGGCGTCCACGTGGTGGGACGGCGTCAAGGGGAAGTATGGTGAGGCAGTCACTTGGGAGAACTTCCGTCAAGAATTCTTTAACCAATACTACTCCGACTTCGAGGTGAACTTGAAGAGGAGGGAATACACCAACTTGACCCAAGGAGGCAAGTATACCGTGAGGCAACTCGAGCATAAGTTCAGGGAGCTTGCCGAGTTCATTCCGGAGTACATATGTGATGAGAACCGGATGGTGAACCACTTCTGGGATGCCTTGGACCTTGACATACGCGAGAGGGCAACACAATTGCCTAATATGACGTTTAGTCAAGTTGTTGAGCAAGGCTTGAAGGGGGAGAAAGAATGGGAAGAAAGAAAGCGGAGGAATGCCGAGGAGGCAAAGAAGAGAAAATGGGAGAACCAAGGCTCCCAAGGTTCCAATAAGAAGGGGAACCACGGGGGAGGGAGCTCTTTTAGAACCCCTGCACCGCCATCGAGAGGAAACCCGGGAATGAGTGGACAACACTCGGGATCACAAGCCTCAACAGCGCCCAAATGCAAGAATTGCAAGAGAAACCACGTGGGCAAGTGTCGTGATCCCCCGAGGTGCTATCAATGTGGTGACACGGAGCACATGAGGTCAAGTTGCCCGCAACTTGGGCGAGCCGTGAGTGCCGGGCCGAGTGGTGGGACCACGATGAGCAGGAACCGGACAGCGGCACCTCACGCAAACACGGGGCACGGTGGAGCTAGCACAAGTAATGCACCGTCCGTGAATCAGGGGAGGACCCAAGCGAGGGTCTATGCGATTATGGAAGCCGATGCACGTGCTAACCCGGACTCCGTCGCGGGTAAATTCTTGAACTTTTGATGTTATTTCCTTGTAAACAATATAAATGTTGAAATGTATAAGTTATATGGCCAACCCAGCCTGTTAAAAGTTCAAAGAAGTGGACAGATATCTGCCTGGGGCGAAAGCCGCCCGGTTTTGACGAACGTCGCCCGACGTTTGTCTATGATTTATTACATAAATCCTACGGCGACCATAAGCCGCCCGACGTTGACGAAAGCCGCCCGGCTTTCGTAAAGGATTTTTGTTAAAATCATTCGGCGGAGGAAAACCGGCCGAGTTTCGTAAAAACCGGCCGGCTTGTGTTCAGGCATCTCCGGTGTGAGGCGCTGTTAACGAAAACCGGCCGGCATTCGTAAGAACCGGCCGGCTTTTAGGAATTAAAATTGGGAATTCTTTCGGCGACAGAAAACCGGCCGGCTTTGGCGAAAACCGGCCGGCTTACGTAACCAGCCATTCCGAGCCGAATGCCAAGGTACGAAAACCGGCCGGCTTTCACGAAATGCGGCCGGCTTTCACTTATTGGTGCATGGTGTTGGTTTTTGGGTGGGAACCGGGATGGAATCGGGATGGGGCGTTAGATGACGATCATCCAAACCATAGCCGGGGTACTCTTTTACCTAAGAAATGAGTCTAATAAGTGGGGAGTGTGTCTTACATTGCTTATGAATGTAGGAACACTAAAGATTAACGGGAGAGACGCAAGAATCCTCATTGACACCGGGGCGCAACGATCATTCGTGAGTGAGGCGTTTGCCGGGGGATTCAAAGAACCACTTGTACCGATGGCTCAAGCCCTATTGGTATCCACACCTCAAGGGGAAGACATCGAGAGAGATAGCCACTATCCATCGTGTGAGGTGGAAGTGGAGGGCCAAAACTTGACGTGTGATTTCGTACCGCTGAGTATGATTGAATTCGATGCAATCCTGGGGATGGATTGGCTTGAGAAACATCATGCTAGGGTCGATTGCTACACAAAGATACTTGAACTTGAAGGC